TTTGTTTAATTAAGCAATAACTGTCGTGGATGATGCTGAAATTGACTTACTTTATTATGAAAATTAAAAATTTTTTCGGATGTTTTGTTCAGCTTTTTTTTTATAGTTAGATTAGAATTTAGTGTTAGTGTTTATAATAAAAGAGTATAGGTGGATTTTAGTAGGGTTTATATAAAATTTCAGTGTTAGTAATTTTAGCATTAGCCGCGATATAAATTTTTAAGATCAATTTTTAATGAAGACAACTTTTAAATTTAAAAATTTGCACAATTTTTTTTTTTTTTTACAAAAAATAAAGCAGATTAATTTTGTACATAATTAAAAAAAAAAACAAGCAGAACTCCTTATTGGTTCAAAAAAAATTATAAATTCCAACCAAATTTTTCAGCCACATCCAACCAATTTTTTTGGCATATTAATGCAGCTATCGTATTTGGATCTAATGAAGCACGATTATCATCAATAATACGGCCTGCACAGCTAAACATCTGTTCAGATGTAATGCTTGTAGCAGGTATAGCAAGAAAGTCTTGAGCCATTGCAGATAAATTAGGAAACCAACCCTTATTATGTTTCCACCATTCAAGAATATTAATATCTTTCATAGCTATTGGTTCATCTAAATATCGATTTACTTCACAAAGTGAGCCATTTTTATTAATTTGAGTTTGTCTTGCTGCATACTCAAAAAATCTTCAGCATGATTTTCAAATGTTGATATACTATTTTTAGTAATTAGTTCATGATTACTGGTAATAGTTGATGGATAATATAAACGAAGATATATATCTTCAAATCTAAATTTTGATCATATTAGAGTTTAGAAGCAATTCAGTATTAATTCAATAAATATTATTGATTAAATTGTATTAAAATAAAATTTGAGTTTTTTTAAATACATATATCTTTCTATTAATAATTTTAAAAAATAAAATTAAATAAATATACATACTGTGTTCGAATATCTTGTATCTTTTTATCAATATTCCATGGCTCTAATTTTCTTTTTCCCGATAGTAATATAAAATAAATTGTATCTTGTAACGGGAATCAAGTATACATGCAATTGTATGTAAAAGACCATTTTGTTCCCAATATTTATTAAATTTTTTGATCATAGCTTGACTAGTTTCACGAACAAAATTATTTGGATGAGATTTCATACTCAAAAGATGAGTATGAATATTCCAAATTGAGGCAAGAGCATTGTTAAGGGTTGGATATGAATTTGCCGCTGCTATCAAAGTGTCTATTTTGATTTAAAAAAAAATTATTATAAAAATGTAGCATTTTAGAACATATACAAATATCTAATTATTTTCATATTTATTATATTCTTATAATATATACAATCATAAAATGGTTTTAAAATAGAACAAATAACTTCGGCATTTTTCCATTCTTTTTCATCAGGCATATCAGGAAACGTTCTATCTCTATCTTTCATTCTATTAATCACATTTTTAACTTTTATAACTGATTGTAGCATTAGGAATATAGAATTCCAACGTGTATCACAATCTAAGGGTAGAATTGTAGAGCCTGCAGATTCTGATTCACAAAAATCTAAGAAAATTTGACGTCATCTTGGTACTGTATGTATTGCTTTAACACAGTTACGAATCTAAAATATTAACAATAATAATTATTAGTATATATTTAACATATTAAATACTATATACAATATTTAATTTACCTTTTTTATAACTTCTGAAATATTTTTTAGCCCATCCTTTACAATAATATTTAGGATATGAGCAAAGCAACGGTTATGAAAAAGGTCTTCATTAATGTTTATAAATGAATTCTGTGAGATACAATCAGCTAGTTCATGAATCGCAACATTATTTGAGGTAGCATTGTTAAGGGTAATGGTTTGTAGCTATAATAATCGGGATATAAATATTTTTAATTTTTTTAATATTTCATAATTTTAATAAAAAACCCAAATGATTAATTAATTAAAAATTAAATTATAATATTATTGAATTGTTAATTACCTTAGTAGTAATAAACCACTTATCTGTTTCATCTTTAATACAGTTTGCAATATTAACCCCCGTATGGGGATAAGAAATTAATGGAAATGATAATAAAATAGAAATAATATTCCAATCTTTATCAAGGAAATGTGTGGTAACTGCCAAGTACTCTAACTGCTGAAGTGATGTCCAAGCATCGCAGGTAAGAGAAATTTTGCTTTCAACATTCTGAAGGATTTCTTTAATTAACACCTTTCTCTTATTATAAGCTTTTATAATATCTCGCTTAATTGTATCAGCATTAATACTGAAATTAGGCAATAATCCATTGAATAGTTTACAAAAACATGGCCTTCTACAACTTGAAAACTTAATTCATCCCAAACTATCATATCGGTTAAGTCATTCCGGATTGAATCTTTCGTATATGGCCCTTTTTTTGGTTGAGGACCAAATATTTGCTGTGTTTTGCTATTTGATAAAGTTTGAAATTTTAAACAAGCACCAAGGTGGCACCGAAGATGAGATGTATCACATCCCTTTTTATGACTAAGAAGCTTATTGCAATATTTGCATTTAGCTTTTTGTTCACTTGTTGATAAGAAAAAATGTTCCTAAACGATGGACTTATGCTTTGAAGATGTGGTACTTTCATTATTAGTTTGGCTGGTAGTTTCATTTGCACTTCTATTATTTGCTCTATCGGTATTTTTGTTTTCAGTTTCACTTGCGATTTGGCCAGTAGGTTCACTTACAGTTATGCTGGTAGTCTGGCCGGTTTCATCAGTAATTGACATAGGAAATATTTCAGCAGAATCATTAAAGGTTAAATCATCAGTCTCATAAACGTTAACATAATTAGCATCCATAGGATCATCTATTTCAGTAAGCTTATTTTGTTGGAGTTTATTATTTTGAATCTTTTTTAATACTCTTATTAAATAAAAGATTGCAAAAATACAAATAATCTTATAACTTACCATGACTTTAATGTAAAGTATCAGTTTGTTGGTTTTTTTTTAAAGAAAAATTGTTCAGAGAAAAAGGCGTGGATAATTTATACAAGTTTTAACAACTAATAGTTATTATAGTTATGAGATATGAATGCAATGCCATAATTATAATAGATTGCAACATTTTTTTTTGTCATGATTCATTACAATTACAACAAATTGTGACACCTCTAGGTAAGATTATTGAAACTAAATTTGAAAGAATAACAAGCTTCTACAATTATCAAAGATCATTGCAATAAAATCTTTTAACATATTCTTTTTTTAGTATAATGCAGCGTTATTAAATATAATTTGATTTGATAGAATTGCTTAAATCTTTTTTGAATAATTAGAATATATCAGAAATTATACTTTAAATTTTATTATTTCGCAATATTATTTATGGTTATCTATATAATAATGATTAATATTAATACAAATAAATTATGCTTATTGGCTAATTAATATGAGCAAAATTATGAATTGAAATAGCTATTTTGAATTAAATAACAAAATCTTCCTAATTCAGAATTTTGTCTATAAACCTTTATGTCTTCACAACAATTACCGTATAGCATAGTACAATCTACAGACAAAATTTGTAGAATACCTGGAGTACTATATTAAATGATTTTTTATATAAAAAGTTTTTTAAATATAAAGGTATTTTATATTTAATAAGTAGTTCATTCGTTAATATTATTATTACTGACAATTGTTTTCTGATGCTTTATTTTAGCTAGCCATTAATCTCAGGCTAACTTAATTGTCAATAAAATAATTGTCATGTATGCAATGAATTCAAAAAATGCTTGATCGGCCCACCTCTAGTTATGTTATTACTTATAGATCTTTAAAACAAAGAAGTATTGTATACATATCTATATGTATCATAATTATGCATATATTGTATGCCAAATTAATATTTGTATCGTAAAAATTAAATATTTATTAAAGCCTATATTAGGAGTAGTGATTGAATCTGTCCTGAAATTCAAACTGGTGGGTCCCCAGGTACGTAATAATATTCATAAATATCTACCATTAAATTACATATAAAACATTTATATTAGGCTTATGAATTTACTATGATGATTTAGTTAGTATTAGAACTTCAACGATTGAGAAATCTAATCTACAGTATATATAGTTTCATGTGAAAATCAATTATGCATATTAGGGAAAAATATCATCCTCTTACCTCTCTTCTTCAAAATAAAACCAGCAGTAAAGATTTTGTACAACATGCATAATAAAATACTGCAGAAAGTCTAATTTCAATATATAAAAATTTTATTTTTCAGATTATGAAAAAACTTTCTATTACATTAACAAGTTATTTAGTTTCGTGCAGGCAATTTTGATTATAGATATTTTTTTTATTATAAAAAACAAATGTGAGTAAAAAGGGTTTGATAGCGTTAGATAGAGTTACATATAGGGGGCTTTGATTAGAGTTAGAGATAATTACGTACAAGGGGCTTTGACTAGTGTTAAAAAAAAATTACATGCAGAAGGCTTTGATTAGTATCAAAAAGAATTATGTGCAAGGGATTTGATTAATGTTAAAAAGAATTATGTGCAGGGGGCTTTAATTATAATTATTTGCAGGAGGCTTTGATTAGCGTTTTAAGAAATTGGTTTATCATATAAAAAGATATATACAATTATACTGCGTCATTTATTAATTCCTACCAATTTTGAATCATCAATAAATAATGTATATATGTAGTTTTGAATTAGTATAAGTTTTTACCCAATTTACAAAATTTTTGAGTGATTTAGTTCTGTCAACAATTTTTTTTAATCGGAACTAAAAAATCAGGAAGCAGTATTATTAAATTATTAATTACACCATTCAAATTATTTTTCTCTAAATCTTCTAGTCCTTTATTTCAGTTTTTGATCAACCTAGTAAAAAATTTGGTGAAAAAAAAACAAAATACCAATTGTCTAAAGAATGGGCTTAAAATATGGGGCAGAACAATTGCAAAGAAGCCAAAAAGGCCAAACAATATGTAAGATTGACCTTTCATTCCTTTTGAAATTTTGCTAGAGTGTGCTCTTGCTTTTGCTCTGCTTTATATTTTGAAGGGTTGATTAATTGATCGTACGTACGTACGTATGTATTGCACAAGCTTCGTATAACTTATCCACACCAAATTGAGCTTGAGCTTGATATATAATTGGTTATTATTTATAAAAAAATCCCGCCAATACCAATACAAACCAACCAAGACCAAACCAAAACAGGGTTAAGAATCTAACACAAAATATAAGTAACCTTCTAAGAGGGTTAAAGACGTTAATCCATCGTCCTTATAATATTCATGTACCACAGTTATTAATCAAGGGTACCCAAAAGCCCAAGGGTCATACCCTAGTTATACCCTTGTTGTTAGGGCTCAGCACTATGAGCCCTTATCCGTATCTGAGGGTTCAAAATTTGATACCCTGGCCCAGCTCTTATGGGCTTACCCATGGGTACCACGGGTAGCCCGGGCCCATGCGGAGGCCTACCTATAGGCCGTTGCACACCCTAATGAAGCGTTAATTAACAGATTATTATTGTAAGCACAGATCGGTCAATATTTTAACATTTATTACCTAATAAATATTTTCTTAGATTTCGGCAACATTGCAAAGGTAAGACTTAACAAATTATGCTTATAAATATTATTTGTTTTTTCTATAACCCTTGGAAAGACTGTTGCAGGATGCCGTTGGTATGATTTATGAATATCACATCACCATCTATAAATACAAGACCAAAATATATATTATTTTATATATTCGTTTTACTGTAAACTATAACGACTAATTTGTCACTTAATCATACAAATAACCAACACAAGACAAACCTATGGAATACACTATATGAGGCTCGTCTCACAGTTTCATATTATCAACAGCCTGTGCTATAGCATCGTACTACATATTAGACTTTTCCAGCCGGCTATCCGCTTCAACCACTTGACATCTGGTCGTCTGATCGGTGTCGAGGCCTTATATTCGATTGTCTACTCGGGATTCCTTAATCTCCTTTTACATTTCCCTAAAAGCTTAACCTTCTCATTGGTGAGCGGTATGGATGGATGGTAACGAAAAGCTTGACTTGAGTTAAGCTTGCAACAAAGACAAAAAAGGACTACTATCCATTACTTCCTTTGATAGCTATTACCTATGACCTCATACTTTACATCACTTATTTTATCAAATTGACATTTATCATACTCATTTCTCATAATCACTCATTTAACATCATGAATATGGAGCTTCAGTTGCAACAAAACTTACGATTTTTGATAGTACCCGAAAGTAACAAAATGTGTGATAATCACATGTGCCAAGAACTTAGTGGAACGGAATTCTCAAAATATTGATTCTGATTGTATGTATTACAGTACTAACAATTATCCTAAAATTATAATTTTGTTAAGAAACTCCAAATCCACTTAAATTCCGTTCCCACTTACAATATATTTTTCAAACTTTGAGCGAACACATTAAATTTGATGATCACAGTAATTTAAAAAGCACGATAAATCGTATAGCTAGTTAGATAAGCAAAAATAAAATTTTGAAATTTTATTCACCCAAATTTACAGGCGAGGGCACACTATTTCACTAATGCCCTATTCATTTTTTGTTATTTGAAACTCTACAAACTAATAGAATTTGACAATGTTCAGAACTAATCAGCTAGTATTTAGAATTTTTCTCTCCTAGTTTGAAAAAAAAACCTATTATTAGAAATTGATAATATTAAAACTGGTTATAAAGATAATCTGATATAATTTTTAGCCAATCACAGGCTTGTATTTATGATATTATATTATTGTCTCCCGATTTTCAGATTTTCTGTTGGTGTGATGCATGAAATTTGACGATCACAGTGATTTGAAAAACGCTATAAATTTTAATGGGCTAAATTTGCTATAAAGATAATCTATAAAAAATATATGAACATAGAAAAATTTTATCAAATTGGGTCATTTGGGTTATTTGGATCATATCCAAGAAAACGTAAAGTAGAGTTCATTAAAGGATATGTTCCACCTAAAGCTCCAGGCGAAACGTCAGATTTGTCATTCACACCTTTAAACTGCACAACAATTTGCGGATGAATAGAATAGCTAGTGATTTCTCCGGCAACGACAAGATTAGGTATATCAATATCGACATGGTTTTCTGGTTTATCAATGTTAAGCTTTTCTATTAACTTCATGGCTCCTTTAGCTGTAACTGCATAGCCGTGTAAACATTGTGCAAATCCCGATTTATGTAGTGCATGAACGGTTAAATTGGTTTTGATGTATTTGCTGTCTCTCTCAGCACAATGGCCAAGGTATAGTATATCCCAATCTTCAGGTAAATTATGATGAACTTCAGTCATAATATCAGTAATATTAAGTTCTATATCCACGTCATCTTCAAAAATTAAAGCACTTTCATAGTCATTTTTAATAATTGATTCGAAGATTTCATAATGACTTAGATAGCAACCCTTAACACCTGCACCTAAACCACTTTCATTAAGTCTACTAAACGCTGCAATATCGTATTTACTAATGGCTTTAAAAAAATCTAAATCTAAACCAAGATAATTTCCTAAAGCTTCCATTTTTTTACGTCTATCTGTTCTGTACTCAAGATTAATAACATAAATATGACTAAATCCAAGGGTGGTACGCTTTGAATGAATTATTTCCTTGAAATTATAGGTAATAAAGGGATTATAGGATTCTTGGAAAAAGAATATTCCGTTAAAAATTACTAAGATAACGATAAGGAGTATAAAGCCGACATACGGCCTTAGGCCACTTTTCAAGAAGTGTATCATTGAAAAATTAATGTTAAATGTTAAAGAATAAAATGTAGTTTTATTACTCTCGAGCGTATTTATATAATATTAAATAATATTAAGGATTTTTCAAATTTGTGTAACGGAGATCATTTTTCTTTTTGGTGTCGCTTAAAGCCGAACTATCCCTGCATCGCCCAGGAAATCTACGGACAGTGATGCATGATCACGTGATTAATCGTGATTGGTTAGTTAGCGGTTAGGAGCATGGGGGAACGTCCCGAGGGCTTTACTTATTTGTGCCAGTAATACAAACTCCTAAAAAGGGGGACGTCTAAAGCGGAGCAGATTCTTATAATATATATTTTATTGAATTAACTTTAGAGTTAGGGTCATCTTATATTGGGGTTAGGTTAGGTTTTAGGTAGTTATATATAATCAAAATTGCCTTCCCGACATTTTTAATTAACCTACCCGAGGTAGGTTTAGACTGCCGTTTTTTGTATTTTTCAGGTT